TAAAGCCTACTCTTCACTGTATTCATGTCATAGTTCTGTTCTACTAAGGTACGGTGGGAGAACAGTCAATTTAGCCTCACTTCTAAACGTCCAATTTTATTTTAGCAGATATGAGAATGGACTATTGTAATATCCAACGACGTCAAGTGACTCGCCATGGCATATTCTGCTTGCAGAATGCGACCAACCGTAATACAATTCTGAAAGCTACTTAAGCTAACATGCATAAATGAATTTCAGGTACTTCTGTCTGTAGCCTATATTCATGTATCTCAAAGTTTCAGAACTCTAGACATGGAGGTAGAATATCCCTTCAAACTTTAGTACCCGCATCTACCTAAAGGTATACATGGTTCTGATACTCAGAGGACCAATATAAAGCTCGATTGTTTTAAACACACGATAACTCTCACAGGAAAATACTGCAACTTTCATCGCTGAAAGTTTCAAGCCCTGAATATAGAAATATCAATGGACAATGGAGACGTTGTTTTAAAGGTTTGGACGTCTGTGAGGTTGACGTAATGCCCGACATTCTCAGACCTTTGAAAGGTGAAGACAGAAAAGGCTGTTGATAGCGAAAGGGATTTGAAAGGATTGATTGGGAAGGGAGGAAAAGGGGATTTGCGATCAATGTCAGATGAGTTGGCGTAGTCATCAACATCTAGCTGGACTGAAGGAAATCGTGCCTGTGCAATCCATACAAAATGCTAGTCTTCCAAAGCAGATAGGCTAGGTACTAATACGATAACATAAAATAACTAAACAAAATTGTCCTTACAAATTAAAATAAGTTATTTTCTATTTTAGGTGTGTTACTTCGATAAGAGATCTATCCGTAGTTCGTCGTACACCCAACTACTAATTCACACATTTCCTAAGAATATTCTTTTTTGTAGAAGAAACAATAAATAGTGAAATTCATTAATCTGCTCTCTCTTTAACCACAGATTGCGGGACGTGCTATGTTGAATTACCAATCGAAGCACAGGGCCCTGTACTCAACCTGTACAGTTACATTATCTTAGGACATCTCGCGCTAAAGTTTCCTCACAGACTTTCGACCTTCCTGTAGATTTACGTTTCTCTCTCTTTACGCTGATTGTTCCGCAAGTGATACATTTATCATTAGATGTATTAACTTGATCCATAAGATAGGTAAAAGCGGGCACACAACAATAGCTGATACATACAGAGTTTCAAACAAAGCTCACATTGAAACGATACAGCCAAATTAAAACACTGTATTCTTATTTAAGACTGGTTTCATTGTTCTACCTTATCACATTTAATAAATGTTTTAAGTTTCAAGGACAGGAATTCTTTTACCGTCACAATGACCGTGCCTAGGCGTGTTAGGAAATTAGTAAATTTAATTGTGATTCAAAGAAATTAGCCATAATTAAGAAATGTGGAAGTGTACAAGAGCAAATGGGCTATCATGATATTTATGCAATTCATAAAACACAATAATCAGTTTTCTGGACCTTCTCTGCAATGGGTCTCGAGATAACTCCATAGAGCACAGTCCTTCTTGATAAGCTAGTAGTTACTCAGCTACTCAAGGAAATACACACCGCTTATAGAATTCGAAGGTCCAGTACACTGTTCATAAGATCCCGGTACATTGCTTACTGCCTCCATTATCAGGGTAATAATAGCCCTGATGATGGAGACAGTAAGCACATCCGAAATATGGATAAATTCCTCCATGATTACACAGCGTAACATTCCAAAATACAGCCATTCCACACATTCTTAGTCTGGACACTAGACAATGGTGAGTGGTAAGCTTCACGCTCCGGCTGTTTTATTCCCGTAGACATAATCCCAGTGCCTACTGGATAGAAATCTAAGCGGACTCAGCAGTCGCAGTGACGGCTAGTGAAAGGATCGATTCTGCTCCTGGCACGACTGAGGCGAGGTCTTCCAGCAAGCAGCTAGACGCCTTACTGACTGAGCTGTCATTGTTCATGGAAAAAGTAGGATGTGCAAATAACATTTCTAGGTTTCCAAAGGGACGGGCTTCAATATCAGTGAGCTGTGTGTCAGTAAGAAAGCTAATAAATGAGGTTCTATTTGAGCGTCACGTAAAGAAGCTGATAAACACGGAAATGAAAGTTTCTTTAGGTTTAAACACTATCATAATTACTGTAAATCGTAATTTACTAAGTTTATTGTCGGCTGGTTCATTTTAACTTTGCCATCAATGAAACCTTAACGCTACATAGTGAGCTACTGAAAAAGCGACGTTAAACTAAATATAAATTCTTTAATAAAATCATCATGACAGAGTAAACAGCACTTACTGGTGTCTGTCCATTTTTAAGAAGGAAGACTTGGACGGAAAATAACAGAATATGGCTGTCTTCTGGATTGAAGTGCCGTGTAGCCCGGTAGAGGTTTGGAAAAAAACTCGTACCAAACACCTGGTTCTCCTATTATCGTTTCTCAACTTTCGGGCTAATTAATTAGGTGGTTACTTAGCTGATTACCTACTTACCTATGCTAGTTGTACCTCATAGGTCTACGTTAGATTATAATTTCAGTTTGTTTATAGTGAAAACATTCTGTTACAGGAATCTCGAATTTATTCCAGGTATGTTAACACTATAAATAACAAAATTAGAAACCCAGAAGACTACGAAGCACGAATAAATGAGTGGGATTTTACTTTAACCTTCATACATTTTCGTAAGAACAGGTTGAATTTTATGTCTTCAGCTTACAATCAAAATGTTAAGCTTACAAGAGAACAGGCAAACAGGAAATCCTTTCTAGGAAAGAGCCAGAGGTGTTAACGAAAAGAATCTATAGCAGTTGATATTAAAATTTCTGTATACGGTTACGAAGCCCCTCATATATTGACATGGCCTTCTTCGGATCGTGAACACATCATGTAAACTGATGTGTCGTACCGTGTCGAATAATGTTCATTGAGGCCGGCACGACTTTAACATCGTTTATCAGTTTGTAACCGACCACAAATTCAAGAAAATTGATTAAGAAGTTTTCATTTTCCCTCTGGCTAAATACCCCACCATGAAGACATAATGGAAACGTGGAGATAAATCTCGTAACGTTATAGACGTTACAGTGCTATTGCAGATCTAGCTTTCGAAATGAACGATGGCCCCAAGTACAGGGAAACAGAAATACTGAGTGTAACGTACCACCGGTAGAACCATTTAGAACTACGTAATAGATTTTACCCCTAAATTGAGGTTGAGACTATACCACGGCTGCCTGTACCTTGACACCAAAGTAAAATACTCGTGTTTATGACATAGACTAGTTGTAGTAGAAAGTGTGCAGTTCAGAAATACCCTAAAGGAATACTGCCCTATGAAACTGCAGGGTCATTCTCTTCAGCAACAACTAAAGTATTATTATGAGACCAAGGCAAGCGTCTTCAATGAAGTATCGAGAACCCCCCCCCCCCCCAAAGAAATATTTTAATGTAGGTGTAGGCTGGTACATGTGACTGTGTCCTACTTCAGACACGCGAAAATTTGCATCTAACATGACGTTTAGATAATATCTGAGTGGGCACTGCGTTAGTGTCGATATAAAACATTATTCATATACGTAGTGTTATTGACATCGTTTATCAGTATGTATTTTAATTGCAGCAATAAATGTCTGTCATGGAATTAATAAGCAAATATTTTATTGCATCACATTTTCTGTCTATCTTAACTTTGCACTACTAGGGTTTGTGTACTGAAGAAAAAAGAGGTTGTTCGTCACTTTTTGAATAACTTAAACTAATGGTGATATCTCTCTGAATGATAATATTTTGTTTAGTTAGTTGTCTTCTGGTAGTATACCAACGTTTCGGAGGATAATGCTGCCTTCATTCCAAACCGTTAAGATGAGATTATGTTCCTCCGTCAGAATAGTCTGTCTGTGCCGAGATTTGAACGCGGTACCTGCGGAAGGAATGGTAATCACTCGGTCGGGTCATTGTTTTCTAGATATTCTTTTTTTTTCTATTATGTCTGGTATTTTTCAGGTTATTTTATTTAGGTCAAATTTAAAACTGCACATGAAAAAGTCTACTTTACTTCCATTCATAACCACCGTCTTTATATATAATATAAGAATTACATAACTAAAAATCCGCCATTAGACACAAACGTTTTAAATAACCCAAATATATTATTATGATAATTAACATATCCCATATCTAGGAAGGTAGCAGAATGTCATTGAAAATGTCATTATACTGGTTCTGGCTGAAGAGCATTTTTCAGAAATTGTACTAGGCAAATTTTAGAGACAAACTATGCTAGATTAAAAAAGAATTAGTATGTACATAAGCCAAATTGAAAATCTAAAATATTACAAACATAGATACAGAGTAAAGACAAATATAAACAGAATACAAACAGATATTAAAAGAAATGAAGAAGAGACCAACTAGCTACACCTAGACTGCCTTTCGATGCAAACGGAGATGGAAGATATCTGAAAACAAAGTGTTGAAGCAAATATTTGGACAGAAGCGATGGATTGAATACATAAGTTTTTTGTTTAGTATTTGTCATTTGTTATTCTTAAATCAAGAAGTCTGAGATGAGCTCTACATATAGAACCAAGAATTGGAGAAACTTTATAGCGGGGAAATCACACAGCAAAAGTACAAACAGGCCGAAAAAGTAATTTCTTAAGAAAGGTAAAAAAAGCTTGTTCATTCTACTATTGAAAATTTTTATTATTCTTACAAAACGGTTTTTCTGCATTAAGATATATCTTGGAAACAGAGTCTACTGGTTTGTGTCTGAAAATTGTAACGAAACCTTTAGTTCAATAACAGAAATAACCTGAAAAGTTGAGTAACTACAGATGTTTCATGTCTATTTGAAACATGATTACAGTCTATTATTGTAGAACTTCGTGTATATGACAAGTCTTGAGATTGGGGAAGGGGGCAACGGAACATTAGGACGAGACAGACTGTAGCACCAGGAGAAAAGTGACGAAAATAAAATACAGAATTTCCAGCTCCATTTCCTTTATTTTAATTTGTATAATTTACCTTAAAATGAGTAGAATAGGTATATATAAACTATCATATTATTCACAAACCATTTTAATAGTTTTCTAAATTATTTAAGTATATATCATGTTAGAGAATTCCATAAAAAAATTTACAGTAACATGAACCATTAATGGGAAATATTTCTGCTTTATAATATTCTCTTTAATTCATAATATCAAACCAGTTAGCAGAGCAAGCTAAAATGAGCATCAGCTGATATTATTTACATACATTGCGGGTATATATGTTTCTAAACAAAATTAATGTGTGTATAAATAATCTATGTAATTTTAACTATTTTCTGTCAATTTTATGTGTGTGACGTAACTTTTCATCTTGTAACTACTTGTGTGAAATGAGACACATTGTATTTACAAAAAAAAGCCAGAAGCTGGTATAGGAAACATAATCAAAATTGTATATTCCACTCCCTTATAAATGCGCAACATTTAGAATGTGAACTGACATTGCGACTTATTTTTATGCAGTCTCGTTCTCATATAAGTAGCGCTTATTTACATTGTCCGTGCACATAATTTGACATTCAAAACATTATCAATATTAGTATTGCTTCTTGCACAGAAAATTTTAGTTATAACTGTGAATGAACATAAACTTTAGTTTGCAAAACAGGATATGCTGATATGCATTATATACAATATCTACATGAAAATACGCTTACAATTCTGTTCACTACATTAACGATATTCTGTCTTGAGATTAAAATGAGAGGCAGAATTTATTAAATTATGCCGACTTTTAGACATGTCGCACCTATCCAGTATCATAAAGCAAGTTTGTCCAGAAATGTTTCTCATATGCATCATTTCTTATCTTCTTACAATATTCGACAACCGTTCTAGCAGCAGAGTGACACATGCAGTTTATCAGAACGAGATTTTCAAATCCTTCAGTTACCTTTCCTCTTATTTCAAATACTTTGTTCTGTGTCCATCCCATTTGCTTGTGTACAATTTTAATCCCAGAAAATAATTTTTAGAACTATCTCATCAGCAAAATGGGTAAGCTCTTGTAAATCCAGTCTCATAATAATCTGTGGTTATCTGCAAATTAAAATAATTTTGTTAATGTACAATTCACATCAGACAGTGGCACAACTGTATAAATATGATAAGTGAATGAAAGGACAGTGTGTATATAGGAACCAGTATTTCTAATTATTCAAAAGGATGCTTACGCATTGTAAGTAAAAGCTAATCAGTCTCTTGTTTTCAAGTATTACAATCGATGAATATGTAGCGTCTACCGCTCAACGAGTAGTATGTTCCCAGAGCTAAGAGTTTAGGAAGAAAATCAGCTAAGATTTGACTAGAAAATGACAGAAAAAAAATATGACCTCAACAATACGTCATAATGTAAATTCATGAAATATGTTCCTTTCTATCCCAAAATATAACATTTGCATGTTACAACTGTACAATAATAGCATATTATACATGAGCGACTATTTATACAGACTTTAAAATGAGAAAATAGTATGCAAATTTAATTGCTCACACCCACTACATTTCAGGTTATTAACAGTGCATAAAAAGAATCTTAAAAATTCAGCCACAAGGACAGCTAAACATGGGGACTGCTTCAATATGAAAAATATATCCCCTCGTAAGATTAAGCCTATTTTTGTAAAGTCGCATCTTTCATTGAAAGAAATGTATGTAAAAGAATGGTATGTTGCAGTGATAAGTTATACATTGATGCCCACTACATTCATATATTTTTAAGTATTGTAAAAAAATACAAAATATACTATATACCAAAATTTACAGAAATTTCTCAAGTAAAAATCCTGCCAATTCTGCTGCGTGTAAGTACCCTCAGTGCCAGAAACAACTATATTTGATTAACAAGCTTCCTAATTATGTACAAGAACTATTGTTCACTCATATTACACTACATAACTCACTGGAGGGCACAAACTCGTTAATAAAAAAATTTACATATTAAAAATAATAATCAGTCAAGACTGCTCGAGTGTTTTATCAACCGTAGCCTCTAGTTGTTTATTTTTACAAAAAATATATACTGGTGAGCTTCTAGGTATAAAATTCTCAGCCCAGCATTATAAAACATTAATATTGAAAAATGTACAGTGAGGATTGTGGCAAACATAATTAAGTTGCTTTTCAATTACTTTCAGTCTTCATTTTCTCAAATATACCATTCAAATAAAGTCACTTTTCATGCAAACACACGCTTCATGTTCATTCTTCAGTGGGAATTACGAAGTTTAGACACTTATGCTCAGCACTCTGTACCAAAACATTCATCATGCATCTATCACAGGTTTTAAGTTAACACTTCACTTCATCAGTATTCAGATAAATAAATCAACCACAACACAGTTTCTCATAAAAATTATAGTTTTCATAAAAAAATTTATCTTCCTTCATAGCGATGAATTAAATATCTCAAAAAATACGGAATATTGATATTAACATGTCCTCAGCATTTCTCTCACGCAGAATGTTACTTATTGCTCGAAGCCGGAAGTTTAATATTATCCACGCTATTAATTGCAAGTCGCTTGTGTACCAGTTTGTGGTTTCATACAACACTTTTGTAATCCTAACTTTGAAACCAGCAATAATATTCATTGCTAAAATATATTAAAATAATTTGATTGTATGGCACTAACCCTGAGTTGACTAGTTTTCACACATCAGCATTCACTAGAAATAATCTTGAGCAAAAGAACTGCTTGCTTAACATTTAAGAACATTACAATTTCCAGTACACAAAGTCATCGCTCCATGCTTCATTATTTGTGACTTTCATAGCTTATCACATGACTCACTTTATACACGAGGCGCCTAAATGGAAATACATTAATGTCTATTGGACTTCTTATGAAATTTGAATACTGAAGATTTTGTTGTAAAGCAGTTTTTCTAACACACGGTAGTGGCAATTTAATTTTCATTAGAAACTTGGCTTTCAAAATATACGACGCAAAAACAAAAAATTGACTGAAACAAGAAAGCTTTACAAATAAGAGATAAGTCAACCACGAAAGGAATAATAAATCATGCGAAATAAATAAACCAAGCCAGGGAGATAGTGCCATCAGCCTTTTGCTTAATTCCGTCGTGTTGCTCGGATTGGTTTATGCAAATTGCCTCATTAATCTCTTGCCTTCAATCTTTGTTTCTCCCAACAGCATTTGTACAAAGCAGAATTCATTGTCTGGAACATTTATTCAGTCCCCTTCTTGTCTGAATGCTGCACCACTGCTATCAGTTGATTCTGGTGCATACCAGAATCTGAACTTATGTACGGTTTATTGTAACATGAGTTACATTAGGATAAACATAGTCAGGTGGGTGAAGTATTGGAGACTAGCAGCTTTAGGTAGAGAGACTGCACGTGGAAAACAAACTGCTGACACAATCTTCAAACGGCATTCTGTAAAAAAAAGAAAAGAAGTTTCAGAAACAGGAAAGAACATTCATTCTGTTATGTTAGTAATGACGCTAGCCTATAAGCAAATATAGGAAGAAATACGCAGACCTACAAACTTCATCACCAGAGTGCAGCATAAAATCATAATGGAAGTAAATTCTTCAAAGCTACGGTAAAATTCATATATTTGGGAATGACAGTAAATCAAAATTATGTTGTAAGATTTTTGGTTTTCACAGCGGTGAGTACGAAAATTTCTGTCTTCTGGGTTGTTGCGATTTATCGCCCTGATGACGGAGGCAGTATGACCTCTGAAACGTTGGTTAACATCGACCAGACTACACAGCGCAACAACCAAGAAGACGGAAATCTTCAAAATTATGTTAATAAAAAAAATTAGACAAAAGTAAGTTTGTCAAATTATTGCTACTATTCACATCAGAATCTTTTTTATTCTCATCTCAGAAAAGTAAGTAAAGAATATTTAGTGTGTGTTTGAGGAACAATGCTGAGAACCATACTTGGAATTGAAAAGACGCATCCAAAGGCTGAAGAAAACCACGTAATAAGGACATTGATAATTTGCACTCCTCACAAAATATTATTAGTGCAGACGAAAAAACTGGAACCTCTGAAGCTACGGCTGTACGGCACAATTGCAACATTGATTATATCCATTTTGGAAATGACGATCTTTTCGATTCAATTAATGTACGGAAGGTGCAACATCGAATTGCGGTGTTTATGCAAAATCCATCGTTTGGTTCAAAAGTTAATAAGAAATATAACTATTAGGATAAAACGATACTTAATAGGCCTACTCACTTTTCTAACCGAGAAACTGCGATTCGGACAACTTGAAGACACAAGCGAGCTGGCAGGTGACATTGATAGGCCAGCCGATATATCGATTCACTTCCGCACATCGATCATAAATGACTACCGACCGTCATAACTGACGACGACTATGGACGTCAAAGATCCTTACAGGCGACCTGTGATCTGGCAGAGGTCAAATAAAAGCTAACTCGTGAGGGCAGGTTTACATTCATGTGATACTAGCATGACTGCTTAGTAATCGACAGGTCAGGGGATCAAAATCAGAGGCCAACTAACTAATCTCTAGAAGGAAATTAATAAAAACAGGTTTTATAATTGCTGTTTATACGATATCAACATCCTTATACCCTTAAAGAATTTCAGAGAGCAATGTATTTTCTGTATCCTATCCTCGATAGTTTATCGATTGTTCAAATTCAGTACAACCACAGAGTTGATTTCGTGTAAGGCCTATTTGGTTCAGAGTCGTTCGGAATATTTGT